AAGAGTCAATGTGCTCAATTTAGCTCTAATTAATATTAACTCTAATTAAATAGCTAAATTTTGATTTTTTGTTTTTAATATTAATTGTCTACATTAATCTAATTAGAAATTAAGAGAGCATTTGTGAAGCTAATTAAAAAAATATGTGTTAAGACATTGAGTTTCCCTTTATTAATCCATTTAATACAACTCACAACCATGAGAAAACTTGTTTTTAAGTGTTGATTAATGTTCTTATTTTGTTAAAAAAATTTCTCAAATAGAATTTAATATATCCTCACATCTCCATAAAAAAAGGTGAACATGAAAGATGTATTAATATCACAAGAGCATCAATTTAAATCATGCAAGTAACGATATATCTCTCCAAATTCAACATTACAACAATTGTTATAAATGCTATATTCCTCATTAATTCGCTCAAATATAATAAAGATCATACAATAATTCAATTATCAACAAATTAATTGAAAAGCATTAAGGATTAAAACGATCATAAAAATTAAGAGTGATGCTACAGGTACATAAGCATATACACAGGGGTATCCATAATGCCACGTGTCACTCTATCATTTATCTATTTAAAACACAATCAACTTTTTCAACCAATCTTTTCCTTCCACATCACATTATGTCATCCTTTATGTATATTTATTATGTACACTTAGCAAAGTGCAAAAAATAAAGAAGCGTATAAATTCAAAATAATAAATTTTTAATATTAAAATTTCATAATAAAGGGTTATCTATATCTTAACACCTACAAGTTTATCCTAGTATCACGAAATTACAAGAAATCATGTAGGATAATGAAACATCACCCTTATTTGAGAAATATGATGAAAAAAAGAAAAACACATGAATTCTTAAATATCTTCAAGTTGAGTTGAGGTCTGCTGATTAAAATTGGCTGTCCAACTTGCTATCCACCAACGACACTTTGACAAATCATTTTACATCTATTTTTAAAGTGATATGTCAATGAATCTAATGAGTTTATTTCACTCATACTTTAGATACAAAGTGGACGTCTAGCAAAGATTTAGAAGTCAATTAACACAAGATATTAAAGTTACAGAGCTCGGATTGAAGTTTCAAGAACAAGAAATTGACTTTTCAAGTTCTTCCTTCAGTTCTTTAATTTGAGTGATGTCCTTTCAATACTTATTATGTAATTTATATACAAATATCCTAGGCTAGACTCTATAGTGTGTATTGAATGATGATGAGATCATTGTTCATTTCTTTCTAATTTATGGACAAGTAGTTTAGTTAATTATCATGTTCTTGATTGGTTATTCATGCTTTTGTGGTTATTCGATTGTTTGATCACCATAGATAACTTGTTTCTTGTTATATTGCTGAAAAGTTCATAATTAAGCTTAAAAAACTAGAAAATTGACACATGGACAATATGTGTTAGGAATAACATTTTGTGATGTGCGTGCTATCTCATTTGATACCCGTGTAATTGAATACATTTCTTCGCATATAAATTTAGACCAGGAATAGAATTAGGCCGTGCTTAGAATATGTTTGATTTATCATGGAAAAAAGGTTAAACAATATAGTATTATTGATTGATATGAGCATTTGAACAACACTAAACTACGTAAGTCGAGAATAGAAAATAAATGCCAACAGGTAGATTCTAATATCCAATACATTCATTTCATAACTTGATAAAAACCAACGCATTCACTAAGTTTGTAACTTAATTTAGGATAATATATCTCTTATGTGTGATCACATTGAATTTGATAGAAAACTAGTACACTAAAATTAGATTTTATTCATTGTGGAATGATACACATAACTCATCACATATTACTTGTCAACGATAATGTACGCTTGCGAAATTTATATGTACGTCCTCTATCTAACTAATTTAATTCCGTTGCTTGTTATACAGTGCAATAATTTGGATGCGAAACTACATACATCTCTATCACAACTACAAGCTCTTAATTATGAATGAAAGTAAATAAATGATGTATTTTGTAAATAATTTTATATTAATACGAGAGGAGATTATACCACTATTATGATTCGAATGTCTTATCAACTGCGAGTGTAATTTTATTATCTGTTACGACTGAGTATGATTATACTACTTTTATGATTATGAAATAGGGAGTAATTATGAAACTTTTAATAATAATTAACCACATTTTAAGCTACTTATTGTCATTTATACTGTTTATCTCGTTCTAAAATAATTTTTATAGTTCATTACGAGATTTATCATTTTTGGCCATTTCAATATCAATGATTTTCTCAACGTTTGGTTCATTGTTTGTGTCATTTCTTAATTGTCAAAGTACAATGCTCAAGGAAAAATGAGTTGTTATTTTGAATTATATTAATTTTGGTACACTCAATGACGAAGCTTGAATTTTTGGATTTGACCTATTGTCATTGTTGACAAAGCAGTAGTCGATAATCAGTGATATCGTGATATATGGCAAAAGTCGCATACGAAGAGAACATATATAAGATTATAGGTTTGTTTGAGCCCCAATTTTTTTGGGATAATTGGCTTTATAATATTGATTTTTGAAGAATGTATAGCTAAAAAACTAGAAATTTTTTTTATATTGAGCTAATGGATGGTTGAAAATAAGTTTTAAAAGAATTGAACATAAATAAGGGCTATTTACTTAGGCCCCGTTTGGGAGGGATTTTGAGAATTGATTTTTTGACCGTTAGAAGAAAAGTGGGGTCCACCAGTGAAAAAAGAAGTCAACAATTATGGTTGGAATAGTGAAATAACGGTCAAAAAATCATTTTTTTGGAATAAAAAATCCCTCCCAAATAGGCCCTTAGTTTATAAAATTTGATAAGAAAGTACAAAGCATTCAACTTTTGATTATCAACACAACAAAATTCAAATGAAATAGTATTTTGTCAACGATAATTTACAGAGAGAGCAACGTACGAAAAAGATAATAAAATAGCGTATTTTGTTCACAAACTTTGGTGAAAATAAAGTAATCAACTATTAACTAATTGTACAAAAAAATATCAACAAATAAGTTTTCGTTAACTTCACCCATTAAGCAATTAGTGTGTACTTCAAGTGAGGAAATATAACTGTAAGTTTAATGGAATTTTATGTTAAAAGTATATGATATCTAAATCGGGCTAAATATTAGGGATTGACAAGTCAAATTTTTAAAGTTAGATATAAATTTTCCAAATGGACTAAAGGCTAAGGACTAAATGCACCAATTATCTAAAGAAAAATAGAAAAAAGTTGCCCCTAGGGGTATAACCCAGTGGTGCAAATGATAGGAGTGAGGTAGTCTTGGCCTTTTTGACAGTCGCAATGTAAGAGTTCGATTCCTGAAATATGGAATTAGACTCTTTGTGGGCACCGGTGTACGGGTAAGTTCTCTACCCTGTTGGGACACATCTCGCGATTTATCTCCCTCATAATGCTCTAAGGACGGGGTGGTGGGGGCTCTCAAAATTGGGGTACAACTTTTTTTTTTTTTTTTTTTTAAATAGAAAAAAGTTAATTTGGGTAGGTTTTGAACCCAAACTCCAAGGCCAAATGAAATCACCATTAGCACTAGGCTACAACAACTTCATTGTCTATAAACTAAAAATTTTTTTTTTTTTTTTTTTTTTTTTTTTTTTTTTTTTTTTTTTTTTTTTTTTTTTTTTTTTTTTTTTTTTTTTTTTTTTTTTTTTTTTTTTTTTTTTTTTTTTTTTTTATAAAAAAAAAATATAAAAAAAAAAAAAAAAAAAAAAAAAAATAGAAGCAAAAATAAAATTAAAATTAAAAAAAAATGCCAAACTCAGCAAATAAAGTGAAAAATTAATCAAATATAACACAATGAACAACAAATGCAAATAAATTACCATTTTAAAGATACTAATAAAATAAAAGGTAAATTGCCACTTGCGGTTTCCAAATATTGACCCCAGTAGCACTTTGGTCCTTATTATTCACCTTTTGGCCCTTGAATCTTCAAACATAGACAATGGGTATACTTGGGGCCCTCGATGGACAGTTATCGTCCATTCTACCATCATATTTCAAGCTACATTGCACTTGATTCAATTTTTTGGGCATTTTCATCGTTTCTTTCATTTTCCCTCTACAAAACTGTGTGAGACAACCTTTCAAATCCTCAATATCAGTTTGAAATGTAACTTCAAAAATCGAAAAAAAAATTAATATTTGATTTTAATCACACATTTTAAGTGATATATAATTTTTTAAAACTTTTTAAAAATATATTTCGTTAATTTTTATCAAAATCTACTAAAAATATGAATTTAAATTAGGGCTTTAGAGGGTAGTCTCGCACGATAATGTAGCTGGAAAATGGAAGAGTGGATAAAAATGCCTTCGAAATTATCTTATGTGGAATACAACTTGGAATTTGATGGTAGAATGAACGATGACTATCTATTAAGATTCCAAGTGCACTCATTGACCACAATTAAGGGCTCAAGTGCCAAAATATAAAGAATGGTAACTGAAGTGCAACTGGGATCAATGTTTGTGATCTCAGTCGAAAATTTCTCAATAATTAAGTTTCTATTTGATCCTCATTAATTAATAACTCTTTTTTTTAAAAAAATTTTTTAATCACATATTCTTTCAATAAAATAATTTTACACATAAATTCAAAATTTTTCTTTACCTTCTATTCACACAATCACAAGAATATTACCATGACAAAGGTGCTCAAACGAGGTTAAGGGCTGTTTGGTAGTAATTATGAGAATTGATTTTTTGACCGTTAGGAAGAAAAGTGGGTCTCACAAATGAGTGAAGAATTCAAAAATGACGATCGAAATAGTGAAATAAAAATTAAAAAATTAATTTTTTGGATAAAAATTTTCGACCAAATGGGGCTAAATGTTCATAACCTTTTACAAGTTTTGTATTGTATTAATTGGGCCCACTTTGAACTTCAATGTACAGAGTCAAAAATCGAAGTTCAAACAGCTAAAATAGAGAATTTTTGAAGGAAAATCTGAAACTCAAATTTGACAATAAATGGAGAAAAATTTCTACAAAATGGAAAAGGAAAAAGAAAGGAAGGCCAAAACTATCCGCCCGATACATACCAGAACAGTAGGTACCAAGCACATTAAGATTGCTTGGATTTTTCTTTGCTGAAATTTGAAATTTTTGTAATTGCAATGTTACGTTTCCGAAATTCTGCATGTGTTACACTTTTCATAGAATCCGTAATTTGGTTGCATTAATCTGTCGTTTTTTGAGTAAATTCTGGGCTGTCAAGTTTTGCGTTATTCCGTCATTCACTTACTGCTTCAACAGGTTTTCTATTGCATTTGCGTACTGCGGTTCATTTGTTTTGGATTTCCATAGAATATCTCTTCGTTTTCTGCGTTTTGAGGGGAAAGAGTAAATGGCGGCTTCGTCTTCCAGTTTGAAAGGAAAAAGAACCTCTGAAAATGTGGCTTCTGATGATGTTCTTTCAGAAGACGCTGAGAAGCAGTTATACACACATCTCATTCGGACCGGGAAATCTCTTCTTGAGCTCGCGTATACCAACGAGGAGCTCTTGCAAGAATTGGATGTAAGCCCCGCATTTCTGTGACCAGAATTTAAATGAATGTTTTTATTTAGCCTACATGAGTAATTTGCTTGAGCGAATTTCATTTTTATGAATAAACACTAAGGTTTTTGATTCTTCTTGTAGTTGATTTTTCTGTTGATTAGTTTGATAATCAAACTCTTTATCGATTGTGGCCACTTAAGGATTTTGCTTTAATTGGTAGTTGGCAACAAACTAAAATCTCTTTCATGAATGGTGATTTTCTTTCTATAAATTGGACCACCTTTTAGAATTTATGGATGATTTGACTTGTTTAACAGTAAAGAATGAGAATCTGAAGTCTATTCTTTTGATATTGAAACTCTTTCTAGGTTGTCTTTTTATCAATTGAGATCCATATATGTTTGATTCACTTTATGGATGATTTAGCTGATGTTTAATTGTGAAGCATGAGAATTTGAAGTAAAAAGATTCTTTTGATGATTAAACTCTTCGTTGGTCGATGATGTCTTGTTGGATATTAATAAACGAGGTCTTAGTCTGCAAAGTTTCTCACTCATTGAGTGGTTCTTTTTGTGTGAATATTTGTTGGTTTAGAACTGGTGGCCTCACTGGAGTTATAATGTTGTTGATGTTCAAAACATAAGAAATTTTTTAGGGTTACGGTTAAGTTGAATTATAAATTTTGGCCATGTAACCACTGATGGAGAAAAGCAACTACAAGTAGTTTAGTCTTGATGACGTACAAAAATTCTAAAAGGAATTATTTTTATTGCATTTATTTTTATCAATCTGATGCAAACTTAGGTAATGTGACGAACTATGGGGAGGAATGGGGTAACAGCAGCCTTTACTAAATATTGAAATATTTTTATGACCCTCAACATCAGTGCAGGAAGAAATGCTTTGGTTAAAATCTCAAAACATACACATACTACAAAATTCAGAGTATAAAGGTATAAAATCTGAGTAGACCACTTATAGACGGTTTAGGTTATAATCTTGCCATGACATTGATGCATGAGAGATAGTGTAGTGTTTTATGAATGACTTAGGATGAATTGTACAATTGATCTGGAACCTTCTTAACTTATATTGTAATTATTTAGCTCTAGAATCAGGTTTTGGTAATGCAATGAAACCTTGATTGTAATGATGTTTTGATGTCAATTGTACTTCCTATTTCTCTATTTCACTTCATATTTGTTTACTTTCATTATCTACAATATTTTGACATTCACAATGAAGATGTTTCACTATGAAAGAATGTCAATCTGATCTTTTCAGTATTTTGATAAGTCACTACTCTGTGTATCATTACATGTTTTCCTTTCTTTAGATAATGTTTATGTCCAGCGTATAAATAAGTCTCTGGTTTTTGTTGGCCATACAGAAATTAGAGAATCTCTTGTCTAAAGTAAGACAAGGGATAAAGCAAAACAAGACAATGAAAAAGGTGCTGCGACCTGCAAAGAAGGCGCTGGTGGGACTCCTGGGACATGGAGAATTGGATGTCAAGATTTTCGTGACATCATGCCTCACTCAGTTAATGAGAATAACAGCCCCCAATGAGCCTTTAGAGGATGATTACATGAAGGTACTAACTACTATTGATATGCTGCCATTTCTTCTTTATAATCATGTGAAATCATTGATACACAAGTTTTTAATTCTGCATTTAATTGTTGAACAGGAATATTTTCAGTTGGCTGTGATGGCATGTGGAAAATTGTCATGCATGACTGGTCATGGCTATTTGAAGGTTCTATCAATGCTTCAGGTGTTTGCAGATGTGCATTTATGTGTGGTGATGTGGGATCTGGAGTTAGATGCACTACTTGTGGAGTTGTTCCAGAAGTTCTTAAATACCATACAGTAAGTGTTCTCCCAAGTTTACCATTTTTTATCTGTACAACTGTTCATAATCGTCTTCTTTGTCTCATTGTTGCCTCTTTTTAAATGTCGTAGGCTTAATACTTTTCTTGAAGTCCAAGTATTTCAGTAATTATGACATATTATTTCGAAGTTCCAAGTTCTTTATATGGAAAAAGCATTTTATTATTTGGAAATCCAAACTCGGCACAATCTTATTTTTCTGTGTTCTAGGTAGTTCTGAATCTTCTGATGAGGGCTCCGTTCAGTTTCTTTGGCTAGTTCTTTACCAGTGGAATTCTTCAAGGACGTGGACATGGCCATGTCGCATGTTAACAAATATTTTGTTTCTTAGATAATGACTCATTGCTTGTAGAAAGGAATAGAAGTACCTCGCATGAAGCCAATGGTTGGCTTTTAACTTGTTCCCCATTGGAAGAAAATGTAATGCTCATTGGTTTTTGGATAAATTAAAATGGCAAATCTCTTATTTGGAAATCAATTCACTGAAGGCCATAGACTTAATATTGATACCATGGTTGCATGTCAGCGTAATAACAGCGAGTTTCACTTTCTGTTATCCCCAAACCCAAGGACGTGCTACAATTTTGCAAGATTTAAGGTGTTTAAAACTCACCTATTTGAGGAGTAGTCATTGATGAAAATTTGGGAAATTGATCCCATGGTAATGCTGGGATGCTATCTTGTTAGTCCATAATTTCTACCTCTCCATGTTAAATGCTTTGATACTTTCACTCATGCATCAAGAGTCCTTTTTTTATCTAATTTCCTTCTATGTCACTGTTGTAGAAACAAAAAACTATGTGAGGTATGAATTTCTTTGATCTTGTTACCATACCCAGCTTTGATTGCGATAAATAATTCCACATTGATTGATAATTATTGTAATAATAGGCAATTAATGCTTTCACTAATTCAGCGAAATTAGCTCAAGAAAAGCTAGAATGTCTGTCATATGCGTATACAGGAGAGTATTTGTATATGTTTGCGTGAGCTTTGCAATTGATTTACATAGTAACGTGATGTATGCTTGATTCATTGAAGAAATTTTCTCTGTCGCAAATATTTACATCTGACTTCAATTTGTCAATTTTAGGTCTATCCAGCTTCCTGTTGTAATTAGTAGCATGGAGAAAATCATGATCATGGCAATAAACAGCAGCGATGAAATGTCATTGGATCTTCTGCTTGTCCTTCTAGCTAGTGTGAAGAAGGAGAATCTAGTAATTGAACTCGATGTTGAAGTTCTTCGATTTTTACTTACCCCCTTATGACTATATTAATATATTCATTTTTTTTTCCTTCTGTGTTTCAGTGTCTATCTCCTTTTTCCTTCAAGATAGGGGAGAGAGTTCTTGAAAAATGTGCTCCTAAACTCGAGCCATATCTCCAAGAAGCAGTGAGTTGCATGGGCATTTCTTTTGGCGATTATGCTAATATAGTTGCATCTATATGCCAGGGTGCAACTCAAAGGGAAAATATGGTGGTGTTTCTCTCCTAGTCATAACTAAAGTTAAACTGAATGTGTGTTCCAATATGAAAATGTGGATAATTGTTATTTTCTTGTTTTTCGAAGTTTAAACTATACATCTTGTGCTCACAGCATCTAAATGGTAGAAAAAGTGCTATTTTTTTTTTTATATTTTTATATTTTTTATCTTGACATGAAGAATAGACAAATCAATGCTTGTTTGTGTTTCGTTGATATGCTTGTTTATTTCTATGCAATCTTTAATAAATCCTATTTCCGAAAAGCTATATATGCATTTATCTGTTAGCTTTACAAATCTCAATTAAAGGAAACTAAAAATAGAGAAAGATTATAGTGATCCTTGATTGTGTCTGTTTATGATTTGGAATCAACAATATTTCCTACACCACCTCTTCAAGATGGCATATGAAGATGTTGAGCACCTTTTCTGGACAGTAAATGATGGAAGATATCCCACCAAGAGCTTTAGTACAATCGTATGCTTGCTAGTTCATTATGAGGACGAAAAACTTGGTAGAAATAATTCCTTTCTGAACCTTCTTTCAAACTAGATGACAGAATATTTCTACGTGATTAGTTCATTCATGAACTTGCCTTAGCAACTCCGTATCGACCTTCAAATCTTTTATCTAGATAGATGATTGGCTACTGCGTGAAATTCCAAAGTCTGGGAATAATGAATGCCAATGTCTTCAAGTAAATAGAGTACTCATCTAACCTCACAATACTCCGTCATAGAAATTGAAAAATATCCTATCAACGCACAGTGCATTGTGATAGATTGTTGAGAATGGATATGATGTCAAGATACTAAAGCATAAGCAAGTGAAAAGAACTAGATGCAAACAGATAGATACCTTTATAAAGTCGACCATTTCCATCAAGTAATATAAGAATCTCCAATCAACATAAACTGCCTTTTGATATCTCTATTTGACTTACTCAACTTCTGATTCTGTTTTCAAGCGACATGCATCAAGGAGACTTTAACTTTTCAAGCAACTCAAGGACAACTTTCCATTGCTGAGTATCAATTATAAATCCCATGTTAAATAAAGATGAAACTTGTGACCAACGTATAAGGGTTTGGGATATCCCTCTTAACAAGGTTGACCTTTTAAATTATATTTCAAGTCTTAATAAACTATACAGCTTTGCAAATAACAGACCTACACCTTCCTTTAAGCTATATACAGATTTCTTGTTTACAAATTGTATTCTCATTTCCTGATTTTTGAAAACCCAGTGGGAGCTGCATGTAAACTTTATTTATTTATTTATTTTTTATTATTTCTTCTCTAAATCTACGGAAGAAAGCATGAAATAAGTTAAGTTGGTGAAGATCCTAAGTTTAACTTCTGAAACAGTTCGTAGAGTTCTCATCGTGGTTAGCTTGGTTGTTGGTGCAAAAGTTTCATAATAGTTGTGCCCTTCGTGTTGGTTATAACCTTTAGCTAGAAAACGAGCTTTGTAACAGTCAATGGTGCTGATGGGTTTAATTCTTGTTTTATACACCCATCTTCAACCTATAGCCTTCTTGTTTGGCGGGAAAGAAGTGAGTTCCTAAGGGTATTTGTCCTCTAAAGCTTTAACTTCTCCTATGCCTCTCTCCACTTCCCATCAAGCATTGCCTGTTTAAGAAAGAATGGTGAGAGGGAGAGATTTCGTCAAATGATAAGATCTATTGTATTGATGAGGAGTACTTATAGATTAAGAACCTTGAAATATGGAACTCATACTTTGTTGGAGTTTGAACATCTTCAGACCATTAATCTGTGATGATCTTTCTTCAAGAACCAACCAGTGGTCCCTAGTTGTTTTTGTACAGATAGCAATACCTGCAAGTCACAGGATGATAACATTGACGATCCAGGAAGCCACCATATCATCACATTGCTTCCAGAACCCAAATGCTAGGCTTGGAGATGGCTCCATTGACAAATACATTTTGTTCGTCGCACTTGAGCTTTCATCATAGTGTTGCTATACTGTTTGAGGTTTTTCTTCATTTAGTGGAAAAAACTCAAGAACTGTGCAGATTATCTTAGGGCTGCAAGGAAAAATCACTCTTGGCATATTTATCATTTTGATCTGCTTTCTCCATGACTGCAGACATTGAAAAGAGTGAATAAAACGCAAACAATTAGGTTTTAAAAGATATGGGGTTCTCTTATTTTAATAGTTGAGAAGAAAATAATTCAAGATATTATATAAAGTTCTCTATTAGTCCTACACAAGGAAAAACTATATTGCAATTATCATTTAGCTGTACAAAAACTCTTGATTGTATCTAATCTAATATGATTTGGAATAAAAAATATTCCAACAATTTTTGTAATATTAAATCGTCAAACTGAACCATGTGGTCAACAAGTAATGAAGGACAATGTATTAATCATTCTTGGTTAATACTGGTTGCTAGGAAGACAATTTTTTGGGAGCATCTACAAATATTACCATGATATTCAGATGTGAAGAAGATTGCATTTCTGGAGGAAAAACTATCTAATGGCTAGCAAATTACTTTTTATGAGATCAATTATCAAGTAATCCTACTTCCAAAGGAAAGAAGACGACAGAAAATGGAAAAATGTTTGTCTATCACTGAGTCTGGCAGATAGGGTAATGTGTTTAGGCCATATCCCTTGAGTTAGACTCAACCAATTTTTTTCTTTGGAACATTAAAACCTTGGTTGAGCCCCATCTTTCATGGAAAATGGATTTTGTAATATTTATTTTTTGGAAAATGAGTGGTTAAAAAGTAGAACAAAGTTTTGGATTTACGTGCAAATTGTTTAATTGATAGAATATGCAGTTGAAAATGAGTTTGAAAATATTTGAAAAATGGGGCTCAAACAGGTTCTAAAGTATTTCCTTGTCTAGCTAAAGTCGCACCAATTGCTAGTAAAGGTTTGCTGTTCCAAAATGCAAACGTCATTGTTGAACTTCCCATCTATCTTGTTGAACTATCCCAATTGTAGGATCATATATATTTATGGTAATATGTGTTTATGTCTGATAAGTTGTTTTCTTGCTTGTAAAGGCTTGGAGATTGTAAATAATGCTGTGTTTTCTGAAAGTTCACTATCTTGCTGATGATTAAGTAGCAGCTGTTCAAATGTTGTTGAAGCTCTCGAGCTCTACCATTAAACTGTTATGGGTTAGGTATAAAATGGTATTAGGCTCAGTGTTTTAGGGGAAAGTGTGCAGATGAGGATGCTGGGCTCCCCAAGGGGGTGGATTATAGAATTTCACATTGTACAGTGAAGGGAAGGTTGTGGGCTATAAATGTAAGATTGAGTCAAACAACCCTTGAGGCCTTTTCCACGTGGACCAAAACCGGAGCAGGTGCTTTGAGATGGGCTCAAAACTTGACAATATTCAAGTACAGTTGATTGGTTCTTTGAACTTTCTCAAGTTTCTTTTAAATATTTCTTGTGTTGTCATTAGAAATTTATTTTCATTTATTTAGTCTCATGAATACATATAATACTATTATATCTAGGTTTGTCCATATGATTGTATCTTACTTTTGTTTTGGCATTACTTGTTTACATATTAATTTTTGCTTCTAGTTTAGATTCTGATGTTGACTTTTATTTCTAGATCTGAATCCAGATGTGGCAACAGTGATTCCTATTGTCCCATGTTTGGACATCTACGTTATTATGGATATTGTTGTAACAGTAGCAGATGTATAAGTAATAATGCATAAATTGTAATATATTTAGTTCCAGTTATCAGTTCTGAGGGTTTATGTAACAAAAAACAGTCCTCTTTTGGATTTGTGGTTCTGCCAGGATGCTGAAGAGCTTCAAGCAGCTACTTCTGGTCTTGGAGAAGTTGGTCAATTCGGACAGTCCAAATTACTTGTGAACAGGGAAACAGGCCATGTGAGGAATGAAGAGAATTTTAATGCAAATTCATCAAAAAAAATATTACAGTATTTTGATCAGATCAAACAGCAGAGGAGTCTGGATGTCACCAAGCAAGGATGTGTGAATATTCCCTCCGTGAAAAAAACAGTCCTCTTTTGGATTTGTGGTTCTGCCAGGATGCTGAAGAGCTTCAAGCAGCTACTTCTGGTCTTGGAGAAGTTGGTCAATTCGGACAGTCCAAATTACTTGTGAACAGGGAAACAGGCCATGTGAGGAATGAAGAGAATTTTAATGCAAATTCATCAAAAAAAATATTACAGTATTTTGATCAGATCAAACAGCAGAGGAGTCTGGATGTCACCAAGCAAGGATGTGTGAATATTCCCTCCGTGAAAAAAAGGGATAGGAGACCCAATTCTAAGCTAAAAGTAGAGGAGGGATATGATTTTTCATGGCTACCTGTTGAAAAATTTCATTCTGCAAAGACTCGTATGGAGGAGGAGGTATGGATTGATTATCAGTCTCACTTTTATCTAACTCTATTGAATGGATAAAAATCAATCATTTAGCCAGCCCTAAATTTATTGGGAATGCTTAGCTTGTTATGATTGAATTGAAATAAGAAGGTCTACCTACAACTTGCATACCATCCATGTGGCTGCAAGCATGGCCCTAGGGGTGTTGGCTTGTACTTGGCCGTGTTGTTCCCATATCCAATTCTTGCAGGTAATGTAGTAGCAGACAAATTGCATAGAAAATGGCTTAATGAACAAAGACTCTGTCTGGGAAGTTCTTTGGCTTCTCTCTAGAATTTCCTCTTTCCTTCCTGGGGGCAAGTTCCAACCTACCTAAGCTCCCTGACCCACTGCCTGCCACTCTACCAACCCTGCACCACAACTGCCCTACCACCAACACCCTCGATGCATCAAGAATGTTACAAAAATCTTTTGCATCTCTTCTTACAAAAGAATCTACACCATTTGTGATTCCAAAACCACCGTGCTCTCATAAGAGTGACCGACGGTTATCCAAAGTGAGGAAGAAATGCAGATATTGTCTTTACTGTTCAGGTTTTCTCTTATAAGGGAAAATTTTCAGGTAAGCCTTTGTTGT